TAGTACGTTTAACAGAATAAGATTAAGCATGTACAAAAATCTACAAAGTTCTATATTCATTTTTTGCAAGAATAACAAGAGGGTTTATTACAATTTAAGATGTAGGCGTTAAATAAACTTTTTTAAAGATACCTAACGAGGCACTAGCTATTGAGAAAAACAAAAAAGTTTTGAATTTAAAGTCTTTAACCAATAAATATATTTTCTTTTCTAATATTTGACCAACTATATATTTGTGTTTAAAATTATAAAACTAGAGAAGCTACGAGGTTACAAAGTCTCACCAATTAAGTTGAATACATTTTACATTCTCCCTCTGTCTAGTTTGCCGTAATATATATCGGTGATTTGTCAGTTTTTATTCTTGGTGACGCAAGCAACGTGAAAGTTGAATAACAATAAATAAATTTGAGTTTGTGCAGTGCAATATAAATACTGCAGAATCCATTCATTTTGTAATAAATCTTTATTTCTATAATTTTGTTTAAGCATGATTAACAGGATAAAAATCAAAATAATCTCTGAAAAAAACCTGATAAAATTCACCTATTTCACATTCAAATACCTAATAAAAAACCTTGATAAAAAATCTCTGAAAAAAACCTGATAAAATTCACCTATTTCACATTCATACATGAGAGTGATATTTTTACACGTTCCTCCTATATATTTATTAAAGTATAAACAGAATTGTCTAGACATTGAATAATGAAATATATCTATTCTTGTATTTTTGACCTTTTTAATAAAGTAATAAAGCCTCACTAGATGTGAGACTGACGTGCTAAATATGACTTTAATTTACAAAAACAATTTTTGTGATTGTTTTTTTTTTGTTTATCAAAATATTGTATTTTTAAATAAAAACAAAGTTCAAATTATTAAGAATTAAATTTTTTTTCTTCACTTTTGACGATATTTTCATTAATGTCTTCTATTTTTTTATTCTTTTAAAGGAGAAGAAAATTAATATTTATAATAATATCTCCGGTCCCCCCTTTAATAGGTTTAAGAATCAGTATTCTCCAGTCCCCTCTGAGTAGGTTTAAGAATAAGTATTCTCTTGTTCACTCTGAGTAGGTTTAAGAATCAGTATTCTCCAGGCCCCTCTGAGTAGGTTTATAAATCAGTACTATCCAGTCCCCCCTTCAATAGGTGTATGAATCAGTATTCTCCAGTCCCCTCTGAGTAGGTTTAAGAAACAGTATTCTCCAGTTTCCTCTGAGTAGGTTTAAGAATCAGTATTCTCCTGACCCCTCTGAGTAGGTTCAGGAATCAGTATTCTCCAGTCCCCTCTGAATAGGTTTAAGAATCAGTATTCTCCAGTCCCCTCTGAGTAGGTTCAGGAATCAATATTCTCCGGTCCCCTCTGAGTAGGTTTAAGAATCAGTATTCTCCAGACCCCTCTGAGTAAGTTTAAGAATCAGTATTCTTTAGTCCCCTCTGAGTAGGTTCAGGAATCAGTATTCTCCAGACCCCTCTGAGATGGTTTAAGAATCAGTATTCTCCAGTCACCTCTAAGTAGGTTTAGGAATCAGTGTTCTCCAGTCCCCTCTGAGTAGGTTTGGGAATCAGTGTTCTCCAGTCACCTCTGAGTAGGTTTAAGAATCAGTATTCTCCAGACCCATCTGAGTACGTTTAAGAATCAGTATTCTCCAGACCCCTCTGAGTAAGTTTAAGAATCAGTATTCTCCAGTCACCTCTAAGTAGGTTTAGGAATCAGTGTTCTCCAGTCCCCTCTGAGTAGGTTTGGGAATCAGTGTTCTCCAGTCACCTCTGAGTAGGTTTAAGAATCGGTATTCTCCGGTCCCCTCTGAGTAGGTTTAAGAATCGGTATTCTCCAGTCCCCTCTGAGTAGGTTTAAGAATCAGTGTTCTCCAGTCCCCTCTCAGTAGGTTTTAGAATCAGTATTCTCCGGTTCTCAGTTAGTAAAAGAATCAAATTACAATATCTTTAGATTCAGTTGTTTTCGAACTGCCATCATCTCACAGTTACAGCAATGCATTCTTTGTTATTGTTATTTATAGGTAGCTTTTATTTAACCATACTTTTATGTATTCATTCATTCTTGAAACTTAAAATCGTTCATTATTCTCAAATTAATTCCTTTTAAATTTGTAATTTTTCTGGAACTGAACTTTTTGTACAGTATACTGCACTAACGAAATTATTATTAATATTTTACTATACTGTACAGCTTAATAATTCATCTAAAGCTTTGGTGCATGTAACTGAGAAAACATCTTAAAAATATTTCACTTGAAGTTTTTTTAAGTAAGTTACACAGCATTTTAGATACAGAAATAAATTGTATTGTCTAACAAAGAATAGATATAAATGGTTTGAAGTAAAAAATATCATTTTAGGTTTACACTTTACCTTTGGCTCTTCTACCCAACTCAACAAAAAGCAGGAAACAATGATAACATATAATAGAGTCGGGGGGTTGTGTGGGCTAAGCTCCAAAGTGAAAATAATACAACCTTGTATATTGGGACACCCTGCAGCTATAGAAAAAAAAAATGTTGTCTCTTTCAAATTTTGACCTATGAATAAACTTTTAAATTAGATCAAACATTTAAAACATTTTTTCGATTTCAAATTTTTTTTCTGAATGTTTCATTAAAATTGTTTGATTGATTTATGTATCAGTGTAGGAGACTGTAACTGCTGTTAGGGTTGTGCCCCAACAATGCAAAACTTTAACAATTAATCAGTACAGTCCGTAAGTTTCTAGGTTATTGGTTCTCAGGCTGATCTTCTCTGTGACCTGACTTTATTGTATACAGTGAGAACCAGGAAACTGTGGAATGGGAAGACGACATTCCAGCAAAAATAAAGTGCATTTCATGGTGTTACAAAGCAAATAGCTTTACCAGTAACTTATCAATCTCTTATCAACTGAAATGAGTCTGATTAAACTGCACAATTGCTGTGTCTCATTGTCTCATGTTCAAAGGGCTATTTAAAGTCAAAACTTCAGATTAAAAGTCGTCTTCCTGTACCAGAATTTTATGGTTATCACTGTATAAAAAATCTAAAAGCTCGTCTTCTGTTTAGTTCTGACTGTATTACTATATAAGGTCGTCTTCTGTTTAGTTCTGACTGTCTAACTCTACAAGGTCGTCTTCTGTTTAGTTCTGTGTGTATAACTCTATAAGGTCGTCTTCTGTTTAGTTCTGACTGTTTAACTCTACAAGGTCGTCTTCTGTTTAGTTCTTACTGTACAACTCTACAAGGTCATCTTCTGTTTAGTTCTGAGTGTATAAAATCTTTAATGTCGTTTTATGTTTAGTTCTGACTATATAACTCTACAAGGTCGTCTTCTGTTAGTTCTGACTGTATAACTCTACAAGGTCGTCTTCTGTTTAGTTCTGACTGTATAAAATCTTGAAGATCGTCTTCTGTTTAGTTCTGACTCTATAAAATCTATAACGTCGTCTTCTGTTTAGTTCTTACTGTATGAAATCTATAATACGGTATTCTGTTTAGTTCTGACTGTATAACTCTACAAGGTCAACTTCTGTTTAGTTCTGACTGTATAAAATCTTGAAGATCGTCTTCTGTTTAGTTCTGACTCTATAAAATCTATAATGTCGTCTTCTGTTTAGTTCTTACTGTATAAAATCTATAATACGGTATTCTGTTTAGTTCTGACTGTATAACTCTACCAGGTCGTCTTCTGTTTAAGTTCTGATTGTATAAAATCTGTAATGTCGTCTTCTATTTAGTTCTGACTGGAATATATTGAAGCCTGTAAAAGATGGAAAGTGGGTTCTTCCCTTCAGTGTAAAGGTAAAAATTTATCTTTTTAAACTGTGAAAATATAAGAAAAAAGATTACAAATAAAAGTACAAAAGCTTTGAAACATTAAAACAAAGATAAAAGTACATTAAGGTTCATTGTAAAGGGACTCTAGTGAACTTTAATGCCTGATTCAAAACTTTAACGTTTCAGGTTCATGAACCAAACACAATTTTTCGAATTGATTTTGCATCAAGAGATGAAGAGGAAGAACAAGGTGGGATGGAGGAGAAGGAGGAGGAGGAGGAGGAGGAAGATGGGATGAGAAAAGAAGAAAATGAGATTAAAGAAGAATTGAGCATGGATGTTAGGGAAATTATTAATAATCAGATTGAGAAGGATGGGAATGACAGAGATATGAATGACAAGGATGCAAATGAAAAGGATGAGAATAACAAGGATGGGAAGGACAAGAATTGGAATGACAAGGATGAGAGAGATGATGAAAATGAGGATGAAGGATACAAGGATGAAGTGGATCTGGATGAAGGGGATGAGGATGAGGTTAAGCTGGATGATATTGTAGAAACAACAGCTGGTGTAGAATTCGGACCAACAGCGGCCCGACTGACTCAGGTATTAAAACCTCTCTAGATACTCCTAGATCATCATCGTTTTTAGGTCAGCCTTTCAACAGTCCAGGTTTACATGTACTTTAAAATAATCTGAAATGTTAATCATATAGCTTTTATTTTTTATGCAAAAAATGTTCTTTGATAAAAAATATTAGATTTTTAGTCTTAAATAGAGTAAAGATATTGTTGTGTGTATAGAAAGAAAACTTATCTAGCAAACGATTTTAAAAAAAAGATAAACATAACAAATTATTTTGGGACACCCTGAAAAGTAAATAACCTTGAATGTTTACAGAAAAAACTTAAAAACCAGCCCACGGAAACACAAGGATATTTCTAAGGATAATTAAATATCAATTTTCCTAACGCCAATTATTTCCGTTACAGATTTCCCAAAGACAATTTTCCCAATGACAATTTTCCCAGTGACAATTTTCCCAATGACAATTTTCCCAATGAAAATTTTATCCTCGCCACGTACATTGCAAGGTCCAGAACATGCCTGAATCTAAATCTAAACTTGGATAATTTACAGTGACATTTCCATTTATTTTTTTATTTTTCCCTTTTTTTAAAAAACATTAAAAATGCATCGATTTAAAAATGTATTATTTTTAGGTTAATGAGTATAGTGAGGAGGTTAAGGACACTGGAGATATTCATAATTTCATTGGTAAATATTATAAAATATTCTTTTTAACAATATTCTGGAGAGAAAAATATTTTCGTTTATTTTCAGTGATGGAAACAGAAATTGGCTTCATCATCAGGGAAATTCATAAATGTTCATATTCGTTTAATCAGTTGTTGAGACGGATTTTTTTATCTGTAAATATGATTTTATATTTAGTCAATCTGAAGAGATGGTTTAAGTTTAGCTTTAAGAGTCAGTGTTTGAACCGGTCCTAAAAAGTTCAACTACTTCTCGTTATTCATAAATTCTCGATTCAGCTGAACTAAGTTTGATTAGTTTAAAGTTTAATAAAAATTTCCGTACTCAGCTAATTTTGATTAAATAAATTTTCTTCAGCTAATGTTTAAGTTTAAATAATGTTTAAAACATTTAGAACAAAATCTACATTATTTGTATTAAAAGATTGAGACAAAAGGAGAAAACAGGTGTATTGAGCCTATTCATCGGAGGTACATATTCATATTTTTTCAAACAAAAATGGAACTAAACATGAGACCAGACATCGATATCGATTTAGCCATTATAATTAATTTAGTTTAATTTGATAAATTAGAAATCATGGAATAAAAAGTTTTGTAAAATGAATTATAAATGACATGAATCAGATATGATTGAAAATTAGTAAGTCAGATTTATACATTCAATTAATGCAGATTTTTTCGCATTTTTGTTATTAAACCTTTTGTTTGGCCGTATGTTTTAATTATCAAAAAATATTAGATGTGTTACAATTTATTAGATGGCTTTTTAGTTGTAGATAAAAACCGGACTGAAATAATACGAATACAATTATGTATAGCTAAATTTACACGGTGGTCCTCATAAAAGTATGTCTTTTAGCAACTATATACTTAAGCTCAGAGAATATATGTTTATATTTGGACGATAACCTAACATGATAAACACTCCGGTTAAACTCTAAATAATTTTGTACATTATCTCTTCTCTCTTCGACCCCCCCCCCGCACCCCATCATAGTTTATCTCTTTTATTCACTTCTTTAACTCAATGTATGGTTAAATACAGAGTGTCCTAATAAACATGGGAATTCAGTGACGAATTCGATATCTTCTTTGCAATGAATTAGCATGTATACCTAATTTCAAAAGCCATAATATTAATATGTTTGCTAGAATTTATTTTATGAAAACGGTAAATGCCTGTAAAGATTGGTCTTTAATGTCTCCGCAAGATGAAAAGCGAAGACGGACAAGTTTACTCAGTTTGTATACTGGAATTTTCTTGTTTTATTAAGTACAACCGTATGCAGTGAAAATATAAACAAACAAATTGTAAACATAGCAGACGAGTTACAGCTTTCTCAGTGGGTATCAATATACTAAATCAAAGAATTATTTATAAAGACGATATCGAATTCGTCAATGAATTCCCTTGTTTATTGGGACACCCTGTAGTATTTTCCTTTTAATTCAACAATCTCCTCATGATCACAACATTTAATAATACTGAAATTTATTAAAGGAAAAAATTTCAAAACGTTGGAACTAATTTGTATTTACTGCTTTTTGAGTCCGATCTAGGTCTGTTATTTTCTTGGAAAAAAAGGCAAGGCTTCTGATATCCAATCTCGTGTGGTCTTTTTTTTTGGTCTTGGCCGGAGAATTTTGAGGTTCCTTGAACAATTTTCGAAAAGCAGGAGATAAATTCATCTGATCAGAAGTCAACCTGGCGTTTCGTTTTTGAATTTTTGGTTTAGGTAGAGACTTCTTGGGAGACTTCTGTTTTGGATCCGGAACTGTAAATAAAACTTTTTTAATAGTTTTAGTGTTATTCTCATCATTTTCATCATCTTCAGAGGAGCTGGAGCTGGAACTAGAACTGGATTTACTTTCAATCAGATCATTTAAATTTTCCTGAATATATCAAAAACTAAATTATAGTAATTAATCTGTAATTGAAAATGCAACATTAGTTTTCTTATAAAAAAGTGTGAATGAATTTAAAATATCAAAATTACCAATTGGGGAACAGCATCTGTCGAATGTTCTTCAAACCTCTCTAGAACCAACAATAAGCAGCCAACAGGAAGTGTTCCACACAAAAATGGATAAAGAAGACAATTTATCGGTCCTCCACATTCGCTTACTAGCAAATTTACTGTGCTAGCTATGATGAATCCCCATTGGAGAAGAAGAAAATGGATTTTAGTCTCTACGGTAGCCATATCAGATGAACAGCTTTAAACTCAGGACGGATTTGAAAAAACTGGTTTCCCGGATTTTCCTCCTGGGTTTCGTGGATTTGTAGTTTTTATCAAATAGTTACACAGTTTTCTTCAGATAACGGTTAACGCGGTATATTTACAAAATTGAGATTATTTGGTTTTGTTTATTTAGATGTACAGTTCAAGAAGTTTAAAAGAGTAAATGAAGAGTAAATTTTACGTGAATTGTGCATTGCACATTGTACGATATGAACCTCTCTCTAGCTGTACAGTGTACAGTGTACAGTGTGCAATTTACACATGTACAGGCATAGAGAATAGAATATATAGAGAGGAATTAAAAGAATCTCTCGGTATATTATTATTATTATTATTATTTCTATTATTATTTTATCAAGGTGGAGAGTCTATGTTGAGAGTGGTAGCCTGGATATATCCTGGGATTGTAAATCTAATCTAGATGAATCTTGTTCAGCCTCCTCGCAGGTTGTAATGCTTTTTTACCAATGGACACTTCATTGCTTTTATCCGACGTTATGTAAAGAGAAGAGAACATAAACCGTGTTAAAATGTTTTAAAAAAATGATTTATTCTTTTTGTTTCAAATTCTCGAAAAATTTTGATAAAATTAATTCTATATAAAAAAACAAGACAGTCATATTTATATATATATGTTGACTATAGCCGGCCAAACGGCAGGACCATATGGGCTGAACTTTTTTTATGTGAACAATCATGGGTAGCCGAGGGGTGTTTTAAGCTAAAAAAAATCGAATATTTTTCCTTTTTAAATTTTTTTTTTCAAAACTTGTTCAGCATTTTTTTTCCACGGGCAACGCCTTCAGCTAGTGATAAATAAAATAAAATTTCATTAAATGAATATAAAAAATACTATTTTGATTGTTTAAAACTACATAAATAATTATTTTTTTAAACTCTCGATTTAAAAATGTGTAAAAATCACTTTAATCTTTAGAAAGTTTTTAACATTAATGTCAATTCGAAATTACTCAAAGGAAATATCCGGACACTGTGGAAAACGATTAGATTCTGAATCATCCTTATAGATTCTCTTTTATTATTAACAAAAAATTATATAATTTTAGAGCAATTTTTTTAAAAATTTTACGATATGTTTTTCATCACAAATATTTATGGTTTCTAATCTGTTTAGTGTAATAATAAGAACACTGAGTGTGTGTATGGAGAGGGCAGGATTGGAAAATGCGTTTGCTCTGGGTAGGTAGTATAATACTAGTTCTTGAATACATCCTTACATATGATTTATAACTTGGTATTCTATAGACAACCTTCTCTTACATAATTTTTTTTGTGTTTGATCTGAGTATGCTTAATGTGTGGTTCCCCCCCCCCCCAAAAAAAAAAAATTGGAAAAAAAACTTTTTTTTTCAATGGGTACTTTATATATGTAGGTTCAACCACTAGTACACCTGTTCATATCTAGAGAATATATATTGTATTCTCTTTGGTTCTACCACCAGTAGATGGGTACATATCCAGGATCTACCACCAGTACATGGGTACATATATCTAGGTTCTGCCACCACTTCATGGGTACATATCTAGGATCTACCACCAGTACATGGGTACATATCCAGGTTCTACCACCAGTTCATGGGTACATATCTAGGATCTACCACCAGCACATATGTGTACATATCCAGGATCTACCACCAGTATATGGATACATATCTAGGATCTACCACCAGTAGATGGGTACATATCTAGGTTCTACCACCAGTACATGGGTACATATCCAGGATCTACCACCAGTACATGGGTACATATCTAGGATCTACCACCAGTACATGGGTACATATCTAGGATCTACCACCAGTAGATGGTACATATCTAGGTTCTACCGGCCACCAGTTCATGGGTACATATCCAGGATCTACCACCTGTACATGGGTACATATCTCTAGGTTCTACCACCAGTACATAGGTACATATCTAGGTTCTGCCACCAGTACATGAGTACATATCTAGGTTCAACCACCAGTTCATGGGTTCATATCCAGGCTCTATCAGAAGTACATGGGTGGATATCTAGGCTCTGCCACCGGTACATGGGTACACATCTAGGTTCTACCACCAGTATATGGGTACATATCTAGGCTCTACCACCAGTACATGGGTACATATCTAGGCTTTAACACCAGTACATGGGTACATATCTTGGCCTTACCACCAGTTCATGGGTACATATATAGGTTCTGCCACCAGTACATGAGTACATATCTAGGTTCTGCCACCAGTACATGAGTACATATCTAGGCTCTACCACAAGTTCATGGGTACATATCCAGGCTCTATCAGAAGTACATGGGTACATATCTATAGGTTCTACCACCAGTACATGGGTATATATCTAGGTTCTACCACCAGTACAAGGGTACATATCTAGGTTCTACCACNTAAAAAAATATTTAGAAAATTCACAAGAAGACTTGTCAGTGTCTTCCTGGGTTCTATAACATTAAAGGTAATTTGTGTGCTTTTCCAAAAAGATCAATTTTTTTATTGAAATAAATCAATTTGATTAAAGAAATGTGTATATATACATTGACACTGTCTATATTTGCCACTACATTAAGTTCATCCTACAATAAATATATTTTACTTTCAGTTTACCTAACTTTATTCTCTTTAAATAAAACTATTATGAACTTTATTCTCTTGAAAAAAAACTATTCTGAACTTTATTCTCTTTAAATAAATCTATTCTGAACTTTATTCTCTTGAAATAAAACTATTCTGTCCAATTTTCCGTCGATTGTTTTTGCCAATTTTTTTTAAACTCAATTTTCTGAACAGAACTGAACACTGGCCACAAACTCTCATTTTCAAACCCTTTTATATTCGCTACCTAATGCTGAAAATCTTTGATGTTTTAAACTTTGACAATTAACCTTGATCAAGCAGAAATCATTGTTTGAAACATCCAAGGTCTGAAAAGATAAAAGAATGGGGAGATTAAATATTTTTGGAAAGTGTACAATTCCTTTTTGTTATGAAATTGACTCATCGAGGAAGGGTGGCTGCTTTCAGGGTTTTGGAGTGCTCCCAGGATTTTGGAGTTGCTCCAAGGGTTTTGCAGTAAAATGTGAAAATTTATCCGAATTTTATGAAAAGTCTTTTAAAAAGGGAACCGAAAATTGAAAAAAGGGCTCTCCCCTTTATTACTATCTTTTTTAAGATATTTGCAGAAAAAAATTGCAAATTTCAGTCCAAGTAGCCTGTGGCGATCATATAAACTCTAAAATCCTGAGAGCACTCCAAAACCTTGGGAGCGCTTCAAAGCCCTGGGAGCAACTCCAAAATCCTTGGAGCATTCCAAAACCCTGGGAGCACTCCAAAACCCTGGGAGCGAAGGATTTAATCCTGAACACTTACAAGGTGGTTGTGTTGAGATGACGAATGGAAAACTGTCAGATAATTTTATGGATTTTTCAAGACTCTTTAGAAAACCAAGGTTTGTTTTTTTATAGATCGTAGCATTAAAATTATTTAAAAACTTTACCTCAAAATTGAGAATATAGATTAATCTTTTTTTATTTAAGGATTTGAGTCTTTGTCACAAACTCAGATTTTCTAATCCCTGTATCTTTGCAAACCAATGCCGTAGACCTTAGATATTTCAAACTATGAAATTCTGGTAGATCAAATAATCTAAGTTTAAAATATCAAAGATTCCCACCATCAAGTTGCAAAGATATAGGGGTTATAAAATTTGAGTTTGTGACAAAGATTCAATTACTTTATTATATTTTATTTTGTACATTTGACTAATTCTTGATATTTTTTAGATATGATGAAATATTTCCTGGAAAAGTTAAGATGTCTAAAAACATACCAGCTCATGGTACTATTAATACTAGGTTTGTAAAACATTTTAAGGAGATTTTATAAGTCAGCAATAGAAGATTTACAAATATTTAAAGACTTTTAAAAGTTTTAATTATTTATATTATGTACATGTACAGAACAGCTTTTACAGTGTACAGTGTACGACTTTAATGTATAACATAACACTTCAGGAAGGATGGCGAATATAGATCTGAATGTGATATTAGTATACATCTTCCTATTGAGGGCAGGAGTTTACTACCTTGGCCGGTCAAATGGACAAATACAGGTAAAGGACGCAAGGGAGGGGAAGGGGGACGCATAAAATGCATAAAATGATGCTCCTACATTTATAGAAAAGGAATTACATTTATACGTATTGTTTTAAAGCAAATTGAATTACCAGTAGCTTGAAAAGCATATTATTAATTGAAAAGGGTCTGTGTACAGTACACAATTGCTGTGTGTAATGTTCATTGATCATAACCTGAGTCTAACAGCCGTCCACCCAATCCCCGATTGTATTATTTAAACCAAGGTTTTAATGCAAGGAAAGTTAATTGCTGTCGTGTAAACTCTGCGTACATATTGAAACCAGTTCTCTGTGGAAGGAATTTGTAAACAAGAATAGATGCATCGGTGTTCGTTTACTATCCGAGGAGGTTAAAAGCATTAAATTAAATACATATTTGCCAAGAGTTCCCAATAACTATTTACCAAGAGTTCCCAATAACTATTTACCAAGAGTTCCTAATACCTATTTGCCAAGAGTTCCCAATAACTATTTGCTAAGAGTTCCCAATAACTATTTGCTAAGAGTTCCCAATAACTATTTACCAAGAGTTCACAATACATATTTGCCAAGAGTTCCCAATAACTATTTACCAAGAGTTCCTAATGCCTACTTGCCAAGAGTTCCAAGTAACTATTTACCAAGAGTTCCCAATAACTACTTACCAAGAGTTCCCGATACCTATTTGCCTAGAGTTCCCAATTACTATTTACCAAGAGTTCCCAAAAACCATTTACCAAGAATTCCCAAATACCTATTCACCAAGAGTTCCCAAAACCTATATACCAAGTGTTCTCAATTCATATTTACAAAGTGTTCCAAATACCTATTTACTAAGAGTTCCCAATACAAATTTACTACTGTGTTAACCAGAAAACTCTGGAATAGGAAGACGACTTTTAGTCTCAGGTTTTGATTTTGAATACTCCAATAAGCATTAGATACAGAAAATGTTCAGTGTAAACAGACCCATTTAACTTAATTAATAATTCAATAAGTGTTTAGTTAAACTATTTGCTTTGTAACAACAACACTCAAGTATTGCTATAAAGTCGTCTTCTTATTTCAGAGTTTTCTGATTATTAACACGTGTTCAAGTAAATTATTTAATTCCCAGAAAATTCTTTTGTTTTGTCTTTTGAGTTGAAAATGCGCAATTTTTTAACTCTACAGAGCAGAATGCTATTTTACTTAATTATCTTAACTTCACGCCGTTGGGGAATCATGGGTCGGTAATGTCGATTAAAAAATATGTTTCTTTTTTAGACAATCTGGGCTTCCGAGAGGGTTTGAAGATATTTGGTTTTATATAGATTATAGATGTTCAAGGGAAGAAGCTATCTGTAAACTTGGGTACGCGTTATATTTTCTATTATTATCATTATCATTAGTATTATCATTATCTTTAGTATTATCAATATTATCATTATTGTTTTCATTATAATTTTCAGTATTAACAATTAGTTATTAGACGTTTTGTTTTCTTCAGGATAGGAGAAGGAACAGATTCTAAATCAAAAGAATTTATATTTACTCCTTACTATCAACAACTGGACAATATCGATGGTAATTATAATTTTTTTTAAATTGAAATAATTTAGCATTGTTATAGTTAATTAATAAAGAAATTGATTACTTGCAACAAACTCTAATTCTTTATTCCCCTTATCTTTGCAACTAAATGGTATAACCTATTATGTTTTAACTATTGCAGATTTCATAGTTTAAAATATCAAAGTGTACGATATCAGGTTGCAAAGTTATTAGAATAAGAAAATTAGAGTTTGAGGCGAGTAATCGGTTCCTTTCCTAGGGCCTGCTATAGATACATACAGAGTAGGTATTGAACCTACAGATGAATCTGAACCTGGAGTAGATCCGTACCAAGGAGTGTATCTAGGTGTGGAGTGCAGGGTGGGAGAGTGGGGTATGTGTGCTCACACTGCTCAATGTATAAGTGGAGTTTGTAGAAGAGATGTAGAAAATAAACCGAAATGTCTATCTCAGGCTGATGGATAGGAAAATCAAGATCTTAGAGCCTAGGTTTAGATTCAAACCTAGAAATAAACCTAGATCTAAGCCTAGATTCAAACCTAGAAATAAACCTAGATCTAAACCTAAATCTAAACCTTTATCTAAACCTAGATCTAACCCTAGATCTAAACCTATATCTAAACCTATATCTAAACCTAGATCTAAACATAGATCTAAACCTAGATCTAAACCTAGATCTAACCCTAGATCTAAACCTTTATGAAACCTAGATCTAAACCTATATGAAACCTAGATCTAAACATAGAAATAAACCTAGATCTAAACCTAGATCTAAACCTTTATCTAAACCTAGATCTAAACCTAGATCTAAACATAGATCAAAACCTAGATCTAAACCTAGATCTAAACCTAGATCTAAACCTAGATCTGAACCTAGATCTAAACCTAGATCTAAACCGACATCTAAACTTAGATGAAAACCTTGATGTACACCTAAATTAAAACCTAGACCTAGATGTAACATGTCCTCAGAATTCAAACATCGAGTTAAATACTTAGATTCTAAACTTAAACCTTAGACCTTGACTTTATGGCTGAATCTAAGCTTTAAGTTTAAACCAAGATATTATATTTATTTTAAGAAGGACCTAGAAAGTGAAATATGTACAATTATAGAGATCGATATTCATATCAATCAATTGAATGGACCAAGAATCGATATTGAGAAAATCTGCAGCCACTTTGAAATGGACTGTGGACATGGATTAAAATTAGAAGGGTGCAGGCATATCTGATTCACAACGATACCTTTTTTTACTTTGTCTGACAATATGTCTCGCTAAAAATTAAATGCCAGCTTTGGTACAGGGATGTGATGACATTATATCCTGAACCAGATTTACTTGAATTCAGAATATTTTTTTAACGTGGTTTTTAGAATAAGAATATATATTTTCTCTGAATAAATTAAATATTTCAAGCTTTATTAGGCAAGTTTATTTTCAGCATTATAAAAGCTGAAATTTTATTAAATTTCTGAGAAAAAAAGTTTATGAGTTGAAAAGGTCGCTGATCCGGCGGCTGTAGTTGAACCACCTCTCCAATCTATTTAATTCTGTCCCCAGATTTCTAATCAGCTTTTTAAAGTTTGTGCAGAAAATGAGTTTTTTTTGTATTTTTGTGTAAATGCATGTAGAGCAGTTATGAGCCGATAAAACGTTCTAATATTTGTTTAAATCAAACTTAATGATTCGTTGAATGAATCAAATTACATTTAATTTTACTGCATTACATAATTAATATTTTTATTAACTATAAACTGTAGTAAAATTTTAACTTGAAACTTAACTTGAATTCAAATTTAAAATTTAAAATTTAATGCTTCTGGCAGGATTTTTGTGTTTGATTTATTTGTCAGTTTATCATCTTTGTAATTTATTTTTTTATACAGGGAATCCCAGATATATGAATATCTATAACCGTAATAATGTTTTTGATAATTATAAAGAAACTTCTTTTTATTGTTAATTCAAAGCAAATTAATAGCCCTGAAATATGAATGCAATTGATACATTAATATTAAACTCATTTTTCCGCGGCATTTTATCTTAAATATGTAATACGACATTATAAAAAAAAATCTTTCTATGTATTCAATATTCCTATATCTGGGATTCACTGTATAGTTAACATATGTTATAACATGTCATGAATAAATTTGTCCATTTTGAAATTAAATAAAAAAATTTTGCATATGTTTTGATTAATAAGATCTAAATAATTTTTTAAATCTAAATATTTCAATACTTATTCTTGTAAAATGTTATACTTGGCATACATTCTGATTAATTCCACTAAACAGTGTTTCACGATTGTTATTATTGTCATTATAAAGATTTATTCACACACAAAGATATAAATACATATAAAAATGGTGCAGTTTAAATTTGTTTAAATAATTTTTTGAATATATAGTTTTACAAAAGAAAAAAGAAAGATATGCAAAATTTTGACAAAAAGGCAACAATACTCATTACATAACATATTTATCATTTCAGTTATTACGTAATTCTTCAACATATAAATTATTCGTTCTTGTATTTAAAAGTTCTTGTAAAACCGGAACTTTCCATGCATGGTCCAATGGGACATCAAAATATTTCATTTATTTCTTAACTAACATTTTACTAAGATCAGATTTACAGAACAATCATTTGCAATGGAAAATAAATTTCTGCCAAGAACTGTGTTAAGGTCATTTTTGCATAGATTAGAAAGATATCTAGAACTTGCTTCAATAGTCTCATAGAAAGACACACATCTTATCGACCTATCAGTTTACTTTCTTCATTTTCGAAGTTATTGGAAACGCTGGTTTCTCGTCAAATGTTCAGATTTATAGATAAATATAGTATCTTATATTCTCACCAATATGGATTTAGACCCAACATGACACCTCACATCCTCTTTTACAATTCTTAGAAAAAATTTACCAAGGTTTGAAAAAGGATGAATCTGAATATACCTTGGGAGTATTCTTAGATCTAAAAAAGTCTTTGATACTGTTGACTTTGAAATACTTTTAGAGGTTTTAGAGGTATCACCAACGAATGGTTTAGAAATTAATTAACAAACAGAACGCAATATGTAAATTTAGGAGAATTTGAGTCATCTCTTAAAAAGATTTTATGTGGTGTACCTCAAGGATCGGTTTTAGGACCAATAGTCTTTTTACTGTATATGAATGATCTTCCTAATTGTACATCTTTTTTACTTCTCTTTTTGCTGATGATACAGGTTTCCTTAAATCCTCCAGTAATCTACATCAACTTTTTTCGTCTGCTAACGTACGTACAGCTCTCTAAAGCAGCATGCTGGTTTCAAGCAAACAAACATACTCTTAATGTTTCTAAAACTAAATTTATTTTGTTTAGAAAAAAAAATATGCCTTTTGATGATCAACAATACAAATTAATGATTGGGGACGAGACTATCGAAAGAATAGGGTTAGGTTGTAAAGAAAAATATTTTAAATTTGTAGGAGTTAGATTTGATGGTTTCTAAAATGGGATTTTCAATTAGAATTGAAATTCTAAAAATAAAAGACATGAGCAAATTTAATTCTGCTGTTTTTATGTTTAAAATATACGATTGGAAAACTTCAATTATCTTTTCATGGAATGTTTAAAGCGTTAGCAGAACCAAACAGAACAAAAAGTTATAAATTAGAATTAGTTAACAATAAATATCTAGAAAGTTTTCCTACGGTTTTTCTTCCAAGGGCCTGGAACTCTATTCCATTGGAAATAAAATCAGCTGCAGAAGGGCCTCTCATTCAAAACAACCAATAATGGTTAGAGAGACCCTGACTAAATTAAAATGTAAAAATTGTGCAATTTAAATTGTTTTTAATTAAATATTTAGTCAAATATATATCTATCTATCTATCTACTATAGCTAACATAGTTTTTGAATGTAAACATTGTGAAATACTTTCAATCAAGTACCTATGCGTATCTCTAGCCCTAGGTACATTAAAAAGAATTCTAATAGCAGTATTCCAAGCTGTATACAATTTTGAAACACATTGGGAACTCAAGTCCCAAATACTAGATCCATAAAAACTACAACAACAAATATCATACAGTTTAAAAATAACATCTGGACTGTTAAAATAAAATTCTTGGTTAAGGGAATGAATTTTTGAAATGAAAAATGGTCATTGTATTATTACTTTGTAGAACATTACCTAAATGTTTTAAGTCGTTGACAAATTGGTACAAATGGTATAAAATTGGGGTTATGTCATTATAATTAACCCTTTATTTAGAAAAAATAAGGCATTTAGTTTACATTTTTCGATTCGAATATTTGTACTAAATTTCAGTTTAGTAGCTTTGGCAAAATTTTCACAAAGGAACTGAGTTTTTGCCACATACTAAACTTTTCTAATTCCTAAATCTTTTCAATCTAATAACGTAAACCTTTGATATTTCAAACTAATACTATTTGATTTAAAAGAATTAATATCTTGAAATATTAAATGTCTACGACATCGGGTTGCAAAGTATGTAGACAAAAAATAGAGTTTGTGACAAAAACTCATTTCCTTTTCACCATTTCCTGAAGACCTGTTCTGCTAGGAGAAAGCAGAATAATATCATCTGCATATACCCAGATGCCCATATAGACTCCCTGGATTTGGCATCCGATCGTTGAGCAGCGTAATAACTTGATAACTTTGTCAATGTATATACAGAATAGTACAGGGGTAGAAACTGCTCCTTGTCTGACTCCATTATAATTATTTACGAGTTTAAAAGAAATTTTGAAAAAACTAAATTCTGGCACCTATCAGTATCCACAGAAAATTTCAGTCCAATCGGTTAAGCCGTTTGGCCGGCTATAGACAACATGTCTTGTTTTCTATGTATAAATTTGTCTGTCTGTCTGTTTGTTTGTTTGTGTCCAATAAACGTCAAAAAGGCTAAACCCATCGGGCCCAAATTTTTTGTGGGACATCATGTGACCACAGGGAAGGTTTATCAATGATAAAAATTTGAAAAATGTATTTTAAAGGTTTTTAATTTTGTGAAAAAAATTTAAATTCTTAAAAATCCGCGAATTTTTTTTAAAATCCGCAAAAAAAATTTTCTTCTTTGTTTTAAAATGTAAACAAAAAGAACACTTTCACAATTTAAATAGAACTGCAGAAAGCCTAGTATTATATAGATTACAATATTATAAGATGGAGTGGGTCGCGAAGGTTCATATAGTATTCAGGTTTCTTATTTGCTTTTCATAATTTTATTTAAAGAAAGAATTTAAGATTTTTGCCGGATATAATTCTCTTGATTTTCTTAACAACCTTCGCATCAAAATATCATATATCATATAGTACGTAATACGTAATACACTGTGATTTAATGGTCTCACGCTCTCAAGCAAAAATCGTTGAAAATTTTGCCAATTACTTCTAAAACGTTGAAGCTAACATTAAGTGCTTTATAGTGCTTTATAGTGTACATGTTAAGGGCTTCAGAAAAGCATAACTGAGTTAGAGCGGTAAAACCTAAGCTTAGGGCATTGCGACACTTCAAAGTCAACCCTGTCTAAAAAATTGATGAGACTGTTTAAGCAGACTGAATCTATGTGAATACTAGGACGAAAAGTATGAATTTGTTTATATTATGCGTTCAATTTGTACAAGATGAAAACATGATTAAAAAAAGTTTAAATTTTTCCACATGCTTCAATGTTGATGAACTTTTTATAGTTTTACCGGGACAAAGTCCAGTTTCCGGGGCATTTAGTTGAACTCTGTCAAAGATAACAATCTAATTATTAAAATTATCATTTTGGGGAATCCCTTCCTGTTTACATTTTTATGTATTTATACACAAAGATATAGGAATTATTTTTGTAAAAAGTTTTTTATTATTTTTATTTTTAAAAAACTTATTCTTATCTCAAGGGAGAAACTTCTAACTCTAATGAATTAAAATCATATTTTTTCACAAAAGTAAATTAGTAAATCTCAAAACTTCTAACCAAAACAATCACTTAATCTCCTTAAAAGTTGAGATGAACTTTGTAAGTCGTTGACAAATGGTAAAGGTAATTCATTCAATAAAATTGGGGTTATTTCATTATAATTAACCCTTTATTTAGAAAAAGTAAGGCATTTAGTTTACATTTTTCTATTCGAATATTTTTACTAAATTTCAGTTTAGTAGCTTTAGCAAAATTTTCACAAAGGAACTGAGTTTTTGCCACATACTAAACTTTTCTAATTCCTATATCTTTTCAATCTAATAGCGTAAACCTTTGATATTTCAAACTAATACTATTTGATTTAAAAGAATTAATATCTTGAAATATTAAATGTCTACGACATCGGGTTGCAAAGTATGTAGACAAAAAATAGAGTTTGTGACAAAAACTCATTTCCTTTTCACCATTTCCTGAAGACCTGTTCTGCTAGGAGAAAGCAGAATAATATCATCTGCATATACCCAGATGCCCATATAGACTCCCTGGATTTGGCATCCGATCGTTGAACAGCGTAATAACTTGATAACTTTGTCAGTGTATATACAGAATAGTACAGGGGAAGAAACTGCTCCTTGTCTGACTCCATTGTAATTATTTACGAGTTTAAAAGAAATTTTGAAAAAACTAAATTCTGGCACCTATGAGTGTCCACAGAAAATTTCAGTCCAATCGGTTAAGCCGTTTGGCCGGCTATAGACAACATATATATATATATATATATATATATATATGCCAATGTCTTGTTTTCTATGTATAAATTTGGCTTGTCTGGGTGTCTGTTTGTTTGTTTGTATCCAATAAACGTCAAAACGGCTGAACCCATCGGGCCCAAATTTATATTATGCGTTCAATTTGTACAAGATGAAAACATGATTAAAAAAAGTTTAAATTTTTCCACATGCTTCAATGTTGATGAACTTTTTATAGTTTTACCGGGACAAAGTCCAGTTTCCGGGGCATTTAGTTGAACTCTGTCAAAGATAACAATCTAATTATTAAAATTATCATTTTGGGGAATCCCTTCCTGTTTACATTTTTATGTATTTATACACAAAGATATAGGAATTATTTTTGTAAAAAGTTTTTTATTATTTTTATTTTTAAAAAACTTATTCTTATCTCAAGGGAGAAACTTCTAACTCTAATGAATTAAAATCATATTTTTTCACAAAAGTAAATTAGTAAATCTCAAAACTTCTAACCAAAACAATCACTTAATCTCCTTAAAAGTTGAGATGAACTTTGCTTAAATGTGCTGCGTTCATTTCAAAGTTCTCGGCTAAAGTTTTGTGAATTTCTATGTTATGATGGATTTGATCATAAATGATGAATGATCAACCATTTTTTATATTTACCATTTAGAAACACAATCTAAGGGTTTTAATTTTCTCCTGAAGTTAACCTTTGTTCAGCTCTGATCTTGCACCGAGATTTCTTTTAAGTGAAAACAAGTCCAAAGTCCTATTTGTGGGTGGAGTTTATGATTACCATAATATACGATTTTGTTGTTTACTAAACAAAACCAGGTATTTTTTCCACAATTCGTTGATGCTTATTCTATTTAAAGGTTTTGTATCAATGATTGCAAAAATATACTTGTAATGAAAGAGCTAGAGCAGATTTGAAATCATTAGAAACAGTTCCAGCTGTGCACTAGACCCCGAAATTAATCTTTGGTCGAAAATCTTCAAATCTGTTAAATACAGTTTTTTAAATATCAGGCCATGTATATTATATAAATACTGGGCCTCTATCAAAGGATAAATCAGTTCTAACCCTAGCATCATGCCACCCTCTGCTCTCACCAATAAAGGTATTTTTATATCAAAATTTTAACATTTTAGTCTCATTTTAAACAAAACATCCTTAACTTCCCTGATATATGTTGAGCAGTCTGGTTGAAAAGGAGGTTTAGTTAAAGGGTAGTTTATCCTATTTATGGGAAATTAGCCTCCCTAAAACTCAAAATAAAATTTCCTGCCATTCGTTTCTTGACACTTTTTAAGATTTGCAATTGTGTTTTCTATTTTAAAAATGTGATTTAAAAACTTAATTTAAATTAATTTTAATTTGATAATACATTTTATGACAAGAAAGAAAAAGCAAAAAGAAAAATGGCTTTCTAAAATAACTGTTTTCATTGCACTCCATTAATAAGTTCTCACAACAGAAAGATGTTTTCCATATTTGTATTAATGTAATAGAAACGGAATTGAGTCTTTGTCACAAACTCTGATTTTCTAATTCCTATATCTTCACAGTCCAATGTTGTAGACCTTTGACATTTCAAACTATGACTTCTGTTAGATCAAATAATATAAGTTTGAAATATCAAAGGTTCACGACAGAGGGTTCAAAAGATATAGGGATTAAAAAATCTGAATTTGTGGCAAGGACTCAATTCCTTTCTTAACAATTTATATTACACCCTGATTAACATTTCGTTTTCTATTGTGCCAAAAAAAATGAAGACATTACACTGTTAATGTTATTACACTGTTGATGGTATCTATAATATTGGAAGTTCTTTGATAAATAATACTCTTCGAAAAAGATTGTTTCGTAACCTAGATTTTTAGTTTACTATAAATGCCCATGAGTAAGGGAGGGGTTCAAAAATCGTTTACTATAAGACGGTCCAAAGCGATGATTGGCAACTCTCAGTTTACGCTGAAAAATGACCTATTGATAAAAAAAATGAACCTTCCCACAAAATTTAACTTAATAATCCATTTATCTTTGCAACCTTATATCGTAGACCTTAGTTATTTCAAACTATGAATTCTGTTTGGTAAAGAAATTCAAATATCAAATATCAAAGATGTACACCATCAGGTTGCAAAGATAAAAGGATTTGAAAATTTGGTAATTTTCGAATTTCAGATATCCCCGTTAGCTCCGGGCTGCCTAAGACCCTGTTCCTTCTGGGAGGGTACACGGATAAGTCTGTGCTGGCCCACAACCCTGGTGGGGAGGAGGGGGAGGGGTTCTACTCTGTTATATTTGATCCAGAACTAGGAAAACTTAAACAGCTCAAGTCCTCGAAGGTACCTTTTCTAAATCCTTGGATTCAAATTTTTACAGAGAAAGGAATTGAATCTTTGACACAAACTCTGATTTTCTAATTCTTATATCTCTGCAACCCATTGTCGTAGAACTTAGATATTTCAAACTATGAATCCTGTTGCATCAAATTTTTTTAGTTTGAAATATCAAAAGTCTACAACATCAAGTTCCATAGATGTAGGGATTAGAAAATTTGAGTTTGTGACAAAGACTCAATTCCTTTAAATAACAAATCAAATAATTAGCTTCTTGAATTTGTAGAACGTATCTACATTGTATATACTTTTTTTTCAACGAAATTTAATTTTTTCCATTTGAAAACGTTTCAGATTTACATACAATTTTTCAATTTATTTAAATATTTTTGATACCTTTCAGGTTTACATATTTCATGTATCCTAAAGAGTTTCCTTAAAATTACCCTTTGGATGCTGATTTCACCTAAAAATTTCTCAATCTATATTATTACAGAATTTCCAAGAATAAAGGAGTTGAGTCTTTGTAACAAATTTTCTAATTTAAATGTCTTTGCAACCCAATGTCGTAGACCTTAGCTATTTCAAACTATGAATTCAAACAATTTTTTTGAGATATCAAAGGTTTACCCCATCAGGTTCGGAGATATACGGATTAGAAATTTGATTTTGTGGCAAAGACTCAACTACTTTGTAATTATTTAGATTGAGCCAAATCCTGCGTTTATAATGAAGCATCCAGCCCTTGATCTTGTTTATATGACGACAGAGGTTATAAATGATTCAGGTGATAAATAATATTTATCTATTTTTCATAATTAACAATATTTACACACATTTGAGAACAAATATATTATTAACTCGGGAAGACGGTTAAAAAATAAACATGTATTAACAACTCCTGAAATCAATAATGTTTAAATTATAATTTTACGAAATACATGAACATTTAGATAAAAAAATAATATGTGCTTTAAGCTTTAAAACTGAATATTCACAACGTTAAGTTAAACATGAAAGTGGGTTTGGAAAACTTGCTTGAAAATTCTTATAAAGAATTTCATTCTACCTTTATAATTATATTCCAGAGGTTTCATTATTCGATTTAGAATTGCTTGGAATTCATTTTTATTTAGTAGAACAGTATGTTTTATATATTCTCTTGAATTATCCAGGTAGTGAAGTACTGACCGGAGCACTGAACCGTTCTTCCGGTCAGGTTACGGTCATAGACAGGAAGAAGGTCCACGGTCGGTCAACATGTCACCTGGAGTGGGATTCCGGCTACAAACATTTGATTGCAGTCAGCTACTGGGACAGCAAGCTAACTACCTTCGCGGTCAGCGAAGATGGATCTTTGGAAGATGCATTCCAGGTTTTCATTCTTTACATACAAATTAGGCATTTTTTCCTTCATTCTGATGGAATTGAGTTTATCAGTACAGTACAGTACAGTACAGTACAGTACAGTACAGTACAGCAGTACAGTACAGAACAGTACAGTACAGTACAGTACAGTACAGAACAGTACAGTACAGTACAGTACAGAATATCTTCAGGACAAGGTTCATGATTATTTTTAAAATAATTTTATACGATTTATTGATTTGATTAAACTTTTATTTATATTAATCACTTCTTAAATCATTGGAACAATGATAAAATGATGAGGAAATACTGGAATTAAATTCACTTTAGTTTGATTTTGTATGAAAACCTTGGATTTAACTTTTTACTTTTTTGTTCATTACATTTTAATCCCTTGTTAGGTTAATCTTGATCCATTCAGCGGCAAAATATTCCTTGTTCCAGATCTAGGAAGGGATCAGGTAATTAAAATTAGGGATTACAGGGTTTTTCACAAAATATTATAAATATTGGGAATCCCTTTATGTTTTGTATAACAAATTAGGAAACTAGGGTGTTTTAGGAAAAAGGGATCCCAGAATGTTTTATAAAACAAATTAGGGATCATAGAGTAAATCATTAAACAAATTGTTTATCACATGGTGTTCCAAAAACAAACAAAAAATGAAAAACAGTGTTTTCTGTAAAACAATAGTCATCAATGAGTTTTTATAAAAAGAAATATAGGATCGCTGTGTGATTTCTAAAAGTAAATCAAGATTAAATGTTGTTATTTACAATATTGTAATTAGTTGTACGTGTAATTAGTTGTACGCGTAATTAGTTGCATGTATAATTAGTTGTACGTGTAATTAGTTGCATGTGTAATTAGTTTACGTATAATTAGTTGTACGTGTAATTAGTTGTACGTGTAATTAGTTGAACGTGTAATTAGTTGTACGTGTAATTAGTTGTACGTGTAATTATTTGTACGTGTAATTAGTTGTATGTGTAATTAGTTGTACGTGTAATTAGTTGTATGTGTAATTAGTTGTACGTGTAATTAGTTGTACGTGTAATTAGTTGTAAGTGTAAATAGTTGTACGTGTAATTAGTTGTACGTGTAATTAGTTGTACGTGTAATTAGTTGTACGTGTAATTATTTGTACGTGTAATTAGTTGTACGTGTAATTAGTTGTATGTGTAATTAGATGTGCGTGTAATTAGCTGTATGTGTAATTAGTTGTATGTGTAATTAGTTGTACGTGTAATTAGTTGTATGTGTAATTAGTTGTAAGTGTTATTACATAGTATACATGTAATTAGTTCGTGTAATGTTTAGGTTCACTACTTCAACATAAAGGCAGGATGTATAAAACATTTAGGAGAAGATCAGATCACAAGGAAAATATTTATCTTTTCAAAAAAATGTTCCGAACATTTTTGTTTTCAGAAATTTATAATGTTGCGAAATGTTCATGAGATTAAAATTCAAAAGAGAAGATTATGTTTCTGAAAAAGTTTTGTCTATTTTGTTTTACAAAGAACTAATTTTATATTTCCGGAGACCGAATTTAATGAACTTGAACCGTGTTGCTGAATTACCTACTGCCGGTTTAAATTTGAGGTTAAGGAAGAGTTTGAGTCGGTGATTCAAATTAGAACCGGCGATAGGCAGTTAAAATTCACTAAATTCGGTCCCGGGCTTTCTGAAAGTGTTCGTCAATTGACATACAAATGCATCTTTTTTCAAAACTATTTAAACTTTGTTTTTACAAAGCTTGTTATAAAGATAAAATATAAACTAGGGGTCGGGGACCCAGGCACATGGAGTTTAATATCAAGCATCAAGTTGTTTATATCTGTGGAGAATTAAACAATACTGTTACTGTACTAAAGTATGTATAAATTTTTCAACATTTTTCAAAAAATTTTAACATTTTCAACATTTTTCAACATTTTTTCAACATTTTTCAACATTTTTCAACATTTTTCAACATTTTTCAACATTTTTCTACATGGTCTTTTTATTCAAAATTCTTTAATTCAGTACGCTGCTTCAACTTTTTTTCTGCTATGAATGACAATTTTGATTAGGAAAATATGACAGATGTGACCAAACTATCAGTGTCTAAAACCCAAAAGTTAAAAAGTTTTCTTAATTCTACGAAAAAACTAATTGAAATCTTCATTGAATGATACTAAAAAAAGGTTAAAAAGTATAGTTTAAGAGACTATACAGGCGTAATTTCAAATAATCCTTCAAAAGAGCAATGCCATATACACAAGAGTGCCCTTAAAAAATTTGTCAAGTATGAATTAGATATCAATGTTTATAATTTTGAAAATTAATTATTTATTATGGTTTCACTACGAAAGTAACTTACGCATTTCTGCTACAGGGAAACGTGTTGTAGTTATTAGAATTAAACACTTCTAACCCTAGAAATACAACAATAGCTTCCACATTTTTTATTTGATCAGATAAAGCTTTCAAGGAAATCGTTGCAAACCGGGCATTGTAATCTTTTTATTGGGGGTTAGTCAAATGAAAGTCCTTTTAACGACTATCACATTTTTTAAATGTAGTTTTTTCCAGGTACAATCCTACCAAGGTTGAAGATGTCCTGAAAGGAGATTTCTCTGGTCATGTTTCCGAAGGAAACTCTCTACTATCAGAAATACAAGTAAGTTTGTGTTTCCGATCAGAACTTAAGAACCCCGGGACAGAATATAATAAAATTTAGATTGGGGAACTGCAGAGGACCAAGGGAATGTTCCTAGCTTGGTTTCAACTTGAGTATATTCACTGAATATTTAGTTTCAGGCAAAGCAGCGTTCCCAAGATAGCATTAAAGAAAGTTCAACAAATATCATCTGCAATATTATTTGTCTAGATTATTCTTTTAATACTCAAATCATAACTGGTTTAGAATAAAATACTGAGATCTATATAATACTATTATTACCATAGATAGCAGTGTTTTTATTCAATTTTGAGTGTATGATTTCAAATGTTTATGAACAAGTGCAGTATGTATATTGCCAACGTCAAGTTGTATAACAATTAGAGTTTTAACAGACCATTTCAGTATTTTTCCTTCATAAAGTTTACATCAAATTTACGTAATGGGGAAAAAACAGAATTAGATGTTTCAAAATTAAATCAATTTAATTTTAAACTCTTGATTCCATCTTTAAAACTTAATTCTCTAAAAATGAAAATTTTTCTTATTTAGGTTATTAGTACTGTTCCCAAGGACCTGGGTTCTAAATCTACAATAGCTGAGATGCGTCTTCATCCTTCCGGGGGATTTCTTTTTGTTGCAAACCGTGGAGACAATTCTATCGCAGTTTTCAGGTGGAAATCTTTTATTCGATTCTTTATTAAATATGATTTAAAGCTCCTCGAATTTTCCCTTGTGTTAAAAACCTCGTTCAAAAATGTCTTTTAATTTTGCAGAAAAACTAAAAAACTGTTTGTTTTAGAGTGAGTCCTGAGAACGGAAGTTTGTCCTTGGTGACAATACATTCAAGTTTAGGAGCTTTCCCTCGACATTTTAATTTTGATGTAACTGGTCGGTTTCTACTGGTCGGAAACCATGCTTCAGATATGATAGTTGTGTTCAGGTAAGGATAAATCACGATCAGCTGACCAGCTGATCGTTTCATTCAGCAGGTACAGATTCATCATCAATCAAGCAGAGTAAACAGACCGATTTAATTAGTGTCTAGTAAAACATTTGCTTTTTCAAAATTGGAAAAAAAGATAGTCAAAAAAAAAAAATTTGCTAATTTTTCTTGTTGTGTAGGATTCATGATAATGGTTGCTTGGAGCTGTCTGATCTTCTTGAGGGAATTCCAAGCATTGTCTGGGTAACCCCGGTCTCTCTCCAAAATTAAAAACCATTGTATTATTTTTATTTGAAATCTGATCCCCAAGTCGTATGTTATTGTTATCTGGTATTTTTTAACATGTTTTATTTGTTGTACGTTTTACATAAACTCAACAAGAATAAACCTCTCACCAAGAATGATCAATTACAATATTAGTAATGAATGATCTCCCGCAAACACAAATAAACATGAAAATTGAATAATCAGAAAGCAAGAGTGAAGCAAATTTATTTAGTTTCAACTTATTTACTAGAAATTCAAAACGTTATTCTTTTCAATAACTTTTTTAAATGTTAGATTTTAATTTGACTTGACCCGAATCTGCAGTACCTATGCTAGTTATAGCTAGATATTCCTGCAGAAATAAAGTTTTACCAATAAAACAATCAATGTTTAACTAAAATGTATTTGAAAATTAACAAAACATGGTGTAACTACATAACAAGATATATAAACAAAATAAATCCATTAGTAAAACAGTTTAAATTGACTATAGATGTAAAATGACTAGATAGATCCTGAACCTTGAATTTATTTTAGAATAAATTGGAAAACCTCCCTTTTTCTTGATAATTTACCGGGACATTAAATTCAAGATGGCCGCCATTGAACACGCGGATATTTAAACTCATTAGGCGGAAGGGTGGATGAAATAACGTACTGAAGTTTAATTAAATAAAGTACATTTATTTGTCCTTTTAATTCCGTATTTTATAAAAAGTTTGATGATATTTATATTCATTGATGCAAAAACGAATTAGTCGTTGGTGCACTTTTCCGACATTTGTTTCATGGTCGGGAGAATTCATAATTAATAACACTTCTAAATAATCCAGGCCAGTGTAAGAAAACCGCAGTTAGTCCCTAGAATGATTACAAAGAGCAAAAAACGATTTAAAAATATTATCGTTAAAAACTTACTTCCTCGTTAAATCACAATATGTTTAGTCAGATTATTTAAACCTCTTGATAATTCTTTTTTAACAACCTAAATAACAGATGTTGAAAACTTTCAATATGTTGATAATAAAAAACGCTAAGAATCTATAAGTAACAAAAACTAAAAATGCCCAAAATTAATCTTTAAGATTATAGTGATTTGTTTCGTTTCTCAGACTTTTTCTGTGGTATTCTTTTCTCCCTGCTAAAATTGAAATCATTACTAATCAATCAACATTTTTGTATAAATTATGTAGATTTATTTAATAAATTCCTATATTTGGTTTTTAGGTTTGATTTAAATTTTCCTTGAATCGGGTTGGATATGGTTTCCCAACTTTCTTCCTGAAAAATATTAATATTACAAATAGGAAACAAAACTTTATTTGAATTTTTAAATAGTTTTTTTTATGCAACAATTGACTTCACTTTTAGTCGAAATTTTGTACAATATGATGAAATCAAATCAAAAGATTAATATTTCAAAATGTATCTTTATAGATGTTTGTCGGGTAAAATTAAATAAACATTTTTTGAATATTAACACTTTAGGAAATCCAAATTTGTAAAAAGTCCTACATATGAATGCTTGAGGGTGGAGCACCCTTCGGTCTGGGAATATGGAACGGAATTGATCCACGTTCTCGTTTCTGATGCGAAAATTCTGGCGCATTTTCAATGTTCAGAATTTGGGCTCGAATGTCGTCTTCCACTTGCTTCTTATTCACCTTTTTCAAAGGATTACTCTCAAGAATTTCCAAAAAAGTTTAATATCACTAGAAACTGTAAAAATATTACATATTAAGGTATGTTTACACTGAAGGTTTGCAAGAATGGGAGAGGGCCCAATCAAATAAAATGAGTACTGAGGCAAGTATTTTTAAAGATTTTTGAAATATCCCATTTTTATTGATGGACTCAGTGTCATAATATTCCGAAGATTAATTGATAAACCTCTGTTTTGCACATAACAGTTGTAAACAAATGATGGATTCAGTCATGAAATATTTCATAAAATGAACAAAACATTTTTTCAGCTTCAATAAAGTAATTCATCAAGTGAACAAAACGTTATTTCAACTTTAATTAAATAAATTCATTAAGTAAACAAAATGATTATTTCAACTTTACTTCATTTTCAAATTAATCGATATATAAACTTTCAATTCAAAGTTCATCATTTTTCAAGTAAACAAGCAGAGATTACTACTTTATTTATATATAAAGAAGATATCGATCTAATTTAAATATATGCTTAATACATGAACAAACCACGCTTTTAATGATAGACAAGTTAATAATATATATAATAATGATTTCATTATCAAGTAAATTGAAGTTGTAAATTTTCTGGCAGTTATTCATGCTAATCATAATCAAACGAAAATTTAAATACATGTTTTAACGTTGTTATAACGTTGTTATTTTAATATAAGAATGCATTGAAAGTGTGAGAGCTTGCAACCTTTGAATAACTGTGAAATTTGATATAATTTTCTTGCTGGAACTTTGACTAAATGTGAAGCAATTTCTAAGAATTTAGTTAAAACGCATATTCAATAAAAATAAATGAAAAAGCTATAACCTAATATTATTGATTGAATATAAAAAAAGGGATTGTACGCATTGTTGTTATTCTATGTTACATTATTTATGGAGTAGAAATGAGCATGTTACTTTTACAGAGAATTACAAATTTTCAGTTTTTAAGAGATAAAATAAAATATAGTGTGTTATACATCGTTATACATCGGACGTTCCCTTCTATTAATGAAGAGTTTCTTGAAATTACGTCTACAGTCCCTTTAAATCTTAAAATCTACCTGTTTGATAGGAGCAGTTTCAACCACAATATCTTCAAGTTTACTAAACTTCTTAGCTCCAAACTCGGCCAGATTTTGAGATTCAATCCCAGAATTTTGATCCCTATTCATCGGCCCGATCTCAGGCTCAAAACTTCCCCGCAGACTAGTATATTCATCTGGTGTTACTGGTTTAAACGAATGTTGACTTCCTGTCGAGGAAAATGCATCAGATATAATCGGAAGAACTTTTGACAACTCTGAATCATCAATGGATATCCCACGCTTTAGTAAACTGATTTGTTCCACAGGAGCGGTCAACCCTTGGGAGATTTCAACGACCTGGTTGCCAAAATCTTTCAAGGATAAGGTTTTCGGCGCTGAGATTTCTCGCTTGTTTCCGAAAAAGAAAGGTTGATGCTGTTGAGAATGATGCTGCTGTTGTGAGTGATGCTGTTGCTGTAAATGATGTTGTTGTTGTGAATGATGCTGTTGCTGATTGAGTTGGGGTGATCCATAGTTGTTTTGAATAGGTTGCACATAAACTGGAGGTGCAGGCTCATAAACTGGGAGTTCCGGAGCTCCATAGCTCGCAGGAGCTTCTATTGCCTCTCCTTTCGGTCCTGGAAGTCCTCTAGGTCCCGGTGCGCCAGTCTCTCCTTGGACCCCTTGAGGTCCTACAGGTCCCATAGGTCCAACAACTCCTGGAGCTCCGTCTAGTCCTGGAGGTCCAGCTGGTCCAGGAGGACCATTGCTGCCATCCTTACCTTGAGGTCCAGTTTGTCCTACTGGTCCTGTGGGTCCCGGTGGACCCTTGTCACCAAACCGTCCTCTAGGACCAGCCGCTCCAGGAGGACCTTGTGGTCCAGGTAGTCCTTGTTGTCCTGGCTGCCCGTTCTTCCCGTCCTTACCCGCAGGACCCTGTGGTCCAGGGTTCCCTGGAAGACCGTCCTTGCCGTCTTTTCCTGGATATCCTGGATTACCCGGAGATCCATCATTTCCAGGTGGTCCTCTTATACCTGGAGTTCCAGGTGTTCCAGGGGATCCGTTCCTGCCTGGTTGTCCATCGTTGCCGGGAAGTCCAGGTGGACCAGGAGGTCCTTAACATAATCATGTTCAAATCTTTTCAAATTTTGATACTTAACTCTCATTTTTATTTATTCCAAATAATTCAAACTAAACCTGAAACTAACCTTGACATTGTTGAGATTGACAAAATCGTTCCTCCGCCGCCTCCCCCCAGCATTCATCTCCGCCATTTAAGGCTGGACGTTGCTTGTACCGAGTTCGATCTTGTGTACACACCGGGAACCCAGAATCTGCACCATAGATCGGCAGTGGTGGTGGTGCACCATACTCAGGAATTGGTGCACCATATCCTCCTGCGCTAGGAACTGGTGGATTATACCCCCCTGAAGTTGGTGCAAGGGGTGAGGAGCTGAAGGGGGGTGGAATAGCAGGAGCTTGTTGATGACCTAATAGACTAATGAATTGGTTGGAAAGCTGAGGCTGATCATGAGCATGAGGAGCATGATCATGTCCATGAGGATGATGATGTCCGTGACCTCCAGGTCCATCCCTCCGGACCCTGGACCTACCCTGCCTGAGTTGACAGGTGGACCAAGGGGTCCAGTGTCCCCAGGTACAGTGGACCGGGCAAGGACCATCATTACACGGAAAGACCTGAAGTGCAGCTCCGTAGCAAGTTAGAGCATCAGGGTTTGGGAGGAGAAGCTTAAACCCATCTCCGCAGCTCCTATATAAGACATTTTAACATTCAGATAAAATTCTCACTGAAATTATACATTGAAAACATGAAAATCAGCGATAATTTTAGATGGTTCTGATATTATTATACAAATAAAATACATATATAAAAAAGTGAGTTAATTTCAACATGAATATAAGTGAGAACCTGTGTGCTGTGAATCTCAGGATTAAGTCCTGACTGATGGTGGAATATACAATATTAAGCTTTTTTCTTAAATTCTTAAAGGGACCGTTCACTTATTTGGGTAATTTCAGGGTAAACTAAACAGCCTATTCGCTCTTGATTGGTAATAGTCTTACTTTTCAAAGACAACTGTGGCCGGAGAAAATTTTTGATCCACAACATACTGAAAAAACATCAATTAGTGTCTATAGAGAGGGACCGTCCCTTTGCGCTCGAATTCTGAACGAAAAATCGGCTTTTTTCTCCGGCCACAGTTGTCTTTGAAAAGTAAGACTATTGCTAATCAACAGCGAATATGCTGTTTAGTTTACCTTGAAATTACCCAAATAAGTGAACGGTCCCTTTAAATCCACACAAAATTTCCGAGCTCTAGTCTGTAAACATTAAAACATTTTCCCTCCCATCTTCATGTTTTATGTGTTATACACTCTTAATTTCGAAATAAAAAAAATCGCTTATATTTAAATGAAATAGTTGGATTTTCTATTGAATATAAACATTTTTCTAATTTCGAAATTCAGAGTGTAGATAAAACCTAACCTGGTACACGGAGTCTCTACGTAGCAGTTCTCCTC